TTCCTTGTTTCTGTCTCCCATCACTAGAATGCAAGCTCCCTGAGGGCAGGATTCTTGTTGGTTTTGTTCATGGTTCATGCTGGTTCATGCATGGTTCTTGTTGGTTTTTTTCATGCTATATACTCATTGCCTAAAATAGTAGCTGGCACAATGTAGGTGATCAATAACTATGTGCTGAATGAAGGACCTCATGCAATGGCTTATACTGGCACATATCAGCCTGGTCACTGTTTGCTCCAAGCCCCTTTATATTCTCCTAGCATGTCTCTGCCATGGTGGCAGGAACTGGAAGACATTAATCAGGAGGCCCATTCTTTAACCTACTGTGTCTTGGGTGCTTGCTCCAGTCCTTGGCATGCCTAGACATGGCTGGGGACCAGTCTTCGATGTGCCTAGGGTCTGGAAACCTGCTCTGTATCTGCACCCTGGGGCTCCATCCTGTTTGGTGTCACACCTGGACCACTCATATTGGTGATGTGAATGGACCCAGCTGCCTCTGGTGCTACTCCACTTCTGATGCAGCTGACTAGAAGGTTAATGCAGAGCCCGGCACCTCTGTTCCCAGAGAAGCTCCAGGACATGTGCCTCCAGGCAGAGAAATATCCCCCACCCACCTTGCTTGTTCAGTGGGGATATTGACAGCCTGTTTCCTTATAGCAAGTGCAGAGAGACACACCTCAGCCTCTGTGATAATACTTCTTACACTTTAGCCTCTTAAAAGTCTTGCCAACTTATTTTTATTGCTTTAGCAAATTCTGTTCCCATTTGCTCCTGAAGTGATTCATACAAATGCAGCAACTTCTATGTCAACGGACTCTGCTAATACATTTTGCAAAGATGCCTCTGTGAAATGCCCAGAAATGCTTTCTCCTACTGTTCTGGGAAGGATTGCTTGGCTCCAGGGTGCAAAGCAAAACCCCAAAATTTCCAGGTGGAGTGTTGGCTGAACTCCATGGCTGCTGCTTGTGTTCGATCAACATTCCTCACTCACAGCTGCTGAGGGAGGCTGGGGATCCATCCTTGGCTGTTTGACTCCTCCAAGTTCACATATATTCGAGTTACACTTTGTAATTGCTGCCTTTAACTCGCTATTCTCAGTGCCTGGCTTCCTTTTGATTTATGGCTGGAGCCTTGGCGTCCCTCTTCAGGGGCACCGTATACTAGCCCATTAGCACGTGTCCTTATATTTGGCCAGCGTCACTGGTGCATCCCTGTGCAGGCATTTATCAGAAGCTCATGAGCACTGCAGACAATTCTCCTTCCAGCTCATAGCCTGAAGCTCAATAAATATTTGTGAGGGAGCATTATAATAATCATAACTGCTAATAAGTTTTGTGCTTTTGTTAATGTGCGCCATGTTAACCACTTAACCTACCCATTTTTCACAGCACTCCATTAAGGGAGGCACTATTCTCGTACCCATTTTACTGATCAGGAAGCTGAGGCAGGGAGAGGTTCAGTAACTTGTTCTATATCATACAACTGGTGAGAGGTGGAGCCAGGATTTGAATGTAGGTCAGAACCTCTGCTCATAACCACTACGTTTTTGGAAGACAGGAAGGCAGCCAGGGTGTTAGGAGGAGCAGGTATCAGGCGTTGGGCCAGAGAATTGAATCTTTAAGACTGTTGAGGCCATAACCACAGAGCGAGCCATAAGCCCTTGCAAGGAGCATCTTGGTGTGAAGATCTCGTCTCAGGAGGCTCTCCACAGCAGGCTGGATCTCTCCCATCAGTCTGACTCTGGACCTCTATGGCTTTAGTCTCTCTGTGAAACCAGATGGTGAATTTCTTCTGTTTGCCCCTCTGGATCCACTCTTCACCCTCCCCCACCCAATTCTATGGCTGGGAGGCTGACTATATGGAGCATCTCTGGGCTCCCTTCCCTCTGGCTTCCAGATCCAAGGGAAGGAGGGGAGTGGTGTAGAGATCTTTGCTCCCCTGCCTCCCTCCCTGTGTCTCCACAGGGTTAGGCTCCTGCTATCTGGTCCTCTCCATAAAGCACCCTCTCTCCAGTCTCCAGCAACTGCCCTTCCCCTTGCTCCTTCTAGCATTATTCTTTGTGGTTTCCCTATGTCCTGCCCACACCTTTGTAAGTGGTCTCTTTAGTAAAATGCCCTTAAATGATAATTTGAGCATAATATCTTATCACTGTCAGGACCCTAACTGATATCGCTGGACTTTAGTTTGAGCCATTTCTAATCTTCAGGCAACAAACCTTCACCTGCACCTTTGACCGCTCCCATCCCAACCATTCCGTGTTGGTGCTCCTTCCTCGTTCTTGCAGATGCATTGCACCATGGAAATGACACAAGCTTCCATGTGGGTGCTGAGTGCCAAGCCTTGTTCTGACACTGTATGAATTTGGGTAAATTACTGAATTTACCCATGCCTCAGCTTTCTCATCTGTGAAATGGAGGTAAATATTACTTCACAGGTTTACCATGAAAACCAAATGGCATAATGGATATAAACTTAGAGCCCAGTGACTGACTGGCACATAAACAATAGTTTCCCTCACTTCGCCCTTTGTCTTTTGATCTCCATTGTCCTTTTGTTGGACAGCTCCGGTTGGTCCTGCCCCGGGGCATGGCAGATAGAGCGCCACATAGATGAACAGAAAAGCTCTTGGCTCCCTGTGGAAAGAGGACTGGGAAGGAACTCGGAGGAGAACAAGGAGGACAATTTGAGGGTTTGAAATAATGACGCGTGAGAAGAGTGAATCACTGGAGAAGGGGAGCGTGAGGAAGGTGATTTAATACTGGTCTTCACACACAGCTCCATTTTATTAGCTGGAAATGATAAAGCCCATGTTTCTGATACCCTAGCTAGAGAAAGTCCCAATCTAATATCCAGTGCAACAGCCTGATGTCCAAGTCTCCCACAAAAATGGATAATGGAAACTCCCCTTATCTCCCTCTCAGCTTTTTATTGTGTCCTAGCAGAGCTCTGTCTCCACAGTGGGAAGACATCTCTTCCCCACCTGGAGTCAAAAGGGCCTGGGTTGAAATTCAGCTGCATAGACTCACAACTGGTGGGATCTTGGGAGGGTCTTGATCGCTCCAAACATCGTCTCCCTCCTCCTAGCGGTGGGGGTGATTATTACTATAACTTCTCATCGGGGCTGATGGTGGAACCAGGAGCAAGGGGTGGATGTGAAGGCTCTGGGTAGAATACAGAGCCAGAAAGGCACTTAACCCTCCACCAACACGAATTTCCACCTTTATTTCCCTCTCATCGTGGCAGAACAGGTGCCCTTCTTCATTTCCGGGAAAATTTGAACATTTATTGTCTTGTATTTCTTCAAACACATGAAATAAATCCTTGATTTTTATTAACTTTCTTGAGCTTCAGGATAAAGTCTCTACCCCTTCTCCTCCTGCATCAGGCTGGGTTTTGTTGTTGCTGTTGGATTGTCACTTTCAGGGATGCTCTTGGATTCCTCGCTACCTATTTCCACTTAGTCACACACCAAGGGCAGAGTCTTAAGTACGGTTATCCTGAGTCCCATGGAACCCCTCTTTTATTTTATGCATTTCCTATGCCCTTCTAGCTTCTGTTTGAATCTATTGCCCTTCAGAAGAACTTTGACTTTGGAACTTAGGCTTCCCATTTGATCTGAGGATGGATTGGATTTTGGGAGGGAAAAGTAGAAGATAATGAAGGCAAAGACCACCTGGGAGGACTAAGATTAATTGTGATCTGTAACTTCTATTATTCATCACCGATTCTCCTTAATTTGAAATATAAAACGTAAACGGTTCTTTACGTACCTGGGCATTCGGAATTTTCACTAGTGAGGCATATTATGACTTCATGCCTGTATGGTCTGATGCGTTCTTTTCGCGAGAAGGGGTGGATGGAGAAGTTCCAAGCTTGCCCTCAGCATATTGGTGTGACTCAGAAAGAGTTCCTCTGGTCAGAAATCTTTCACGCTCTCTTGGCTTCTTGTTTTAATTATAGTAGAATTAAGGTTTTAAAGCTCAAAAATATAATTAGTTACATTCCATTTCAATCACAATGACTCAAACCTGCTGATGTGATTCTTGGCCATCAAATGGACCCATCTTCCCCATCGCCGGCTGCTTGCCTGTTAGAATCACCCATGCAGCTTTGATAAAACGCAGATGCCAGGGCCCGACTCCCTGGGACTTTGATCCCATCAATCTAGGGAGGGGCCTGGGAATCTGAGTATTTATAAGGTGTCACAGAGGATTCTGGTGCACAGGCAGGGTTGGGAATCCTGGAGTGAGACAATGGAGGGGTGAGGTGGGTGAGTTACAATTTTATTGCTACTCCCTATGCAATAGTTTTTACTTAACAAGAGAATAAACAAGCTTACGCTCATGGCAGCATTTAGCCAGAGGCTGATGTTGGGTATCTGGAGTACAGGGGATAATAGACAACTGATTCAGGCGTTGTTTCTTGTCCTAAAGCAGTGTGATCTGGGTAAGTCACTTTCCTTCCCTGGGCCTCAGCTTCCCGATCCTTAAAGTGGGAGGGTTGGATGAAACACTCTGTATGGGTCTTCTGGTGTTGATGCTTATCATTGCTGAGACTTCACTGGGAGGACACTTCATTGTTTGGTGGGGGAAGCCAAGTGCCCTCCTGCCACCCCAAAGGGAAACAGAGCCACCAATAGGAGGAGGGAGCAGAGGTGTCTAGGGAGATGGAAGAGTCTGGCTGCGGAGTTAGCCCTGGAATGACTATGGAATCAACAGCGGGCTCTCCAATAAGGGCCCATTGCCTTTTGATGAGCTTTCAATAGCATCATGGGAACTTAATTCTTATAGGATGAAAAAGCTTGGGATTCCAGACGTGGGTAGTAGGGTGGACAGCTGGCTTTGGGAGAAAAAGTTCCACTCTACATCCAGGACAGAGGGGCCAGAGACCTGAGAACTAATGTTTATGCTTTGAAAACTTCAATGATATGATAAATATGAATTATTATTACTGCTGTTATTAAATCCCCACACTACAAGGTTAACTGGTTCATGTTTCAGCCCCAGCTCGGCCACTAATTGGCTGTGTGATCTCAGACAAGCTGAGCTCCCTCTCTGAGACACAGCTGCCTCATTTGCAAAGTAAGAAGGTGAAATTGCACGATCAGCTGAAGACTCTTCCTGCCTCGGTCCGGTAAGTGTGATCAAAATGTTAAATTAACGGTCACACAATCGGTCGTCGGAGGCTCACCTTTCAAAAAGAAAAAGGCCAACTGGAAAATGACATAATTAAAAGAAGGAAAGAAAACTCTCTCTCCAGAGGCTGCGATTTCACAGAAAGCCGGCGTGCCTGTGATATTCCACACAGCGTATTATGATGACAGGGAGACACGGAGGATGTGCTGAAAGACACGCAGCAAGTGGTAAGCGGAGGTGTTTGAAATAGAAAAGTCTGTTTTCAAAGACGACTAATAAAGCTAGAGGAGTGGCCCACACCAAGGCAGTCTGAGCCAACGTCCTGTAGCCGAGACTCCAGTCCCTGTAGCTGTGCCTGGGGCCCCGGGACTGTCCTCGGCCCAACGTGTGAGCAAGAAGGGGCAGCGGTAAAGGCGGAAGCAGGGGCTGGGCTTCCGGCTGAGGAGAGGGGCGCACAAGGAGGGGATCTGGGGAGGGGCTGCCTGTGGCCTTGGCAGAGGAGACCCACACCCCTCCCGTGAGCCCAGCCAGCTCTGGGCCTGGCGGCTGGGGACATTTCTCCAGGCCTGTGCAGGAGCTGCCCTGGTGCTGGGAAGGCAGCAAAAGCACAGCAGTGGAGAGCAGAGGCTCTGGAGCCAGAATGCCTGGGTTCGAGTTTTGTCACTTCATAGCTGTGAGATGGTAAGCAAGTGACTTAACCTCTCTGTGTCTCAGTTTCCTTATCTGTAAAATTGAATAATATGAGCTGATCATGGAGTTATAGCAAGGATGTGAATTAACATCTGTAAAGCACTTGGGACAGAGCCTGGCTACAGAGTACATTGGGGATGTGTGTGTGTGTGTGTGTGTGTGTGTGTGTGTGTGTGTGTATCAGTGTATACATGGATGAATGAAATGTGGCCTATCAGATGGATCCCACCTGCTTTTTGGGCAGAGGCCCAAGGCTGATCACTGCCCTTGTTTTTTAGTTAAGCAATGACACTCTGGATGCTGGTCTATGTGGACACACTCAGGGTCCCAGTGACCTCTCTTGTCTCCTCTGAGCACTAGGCCAGCTCTGGGGGAGGAGATGCTTGGGTGGCCCCAGGCCACAGCCTGCCTAGGACTGACCAGGCCTTTCCAGGCTTCTCCTTGAGCCCCAAGCCACATATCCAACTGCCCAGTGCTTGTCTCTACTGGGATATCCACAGCTATCTCTACTCACCATGTTCCCAGCCTACTCATAACCCAACCCCTCCCAACACATACCTTTCCTTGGTTTCTGGTCTCAGCACACGGCAACACCATCCTTCTAAGGAATGCAAGCCAGCAATCCTTCCCTCCTTGACCCCCATCTCTGCATCTCATTCCTGGACATCTCTATTTCCAGTCGTTGACCTTTGACTGATTGTTTGCTGGAAGATCAAATGGATGAATGAATGAGTAAATGAAGGCAGTGCCTGAGTGTCATTACAACAACAAATACACATACTATTTTCCAGGCGCAGGGTCCTAAGTGCTTGTCTATATGTGCTCCGCACACAAGGGCTTGACATATCCAAGCCTCACCGTAGGCACTCACTGCATATGTGTTGCTTGCACACAAAGCATGCGTGAGGAAATCTGGTCGTGGTGGAACAGCTGGTTGTGCCTTAATCCACAGAGTCATTTAAAATTTCCAGTACATTCCAGGCTTCTGGATAGAGCTTCTGTAACCTCTCAAAGCCAGTGGTATTTTCTTACCTTCCAAAGCCGCCTCAGAGCCAGGTCCTACTGAGCTGTGACTGGCCTGGTGCAGTGCAGTTTCTGGGCCGTTTCTCCCCCCTGCAGGGAAGATGTAGAAGCTGCCGCTTCACCGAGCCCCCTAATAGTCAGGCTTTATTTTCCCTGCCACCCCGGGGGCTCCTGCTCACCATGAGCTTACTTCTGTGCAGCTCTACACAACACACAGTAAAAGGAAAATGGTAATTAGAAGGAATGCTTGAACAGGGGAGCTTGTGTGGAAAAATACTTTAGTTAAACGAAGCAGTAAAGGTTCCCTTAAAGTGTTAGACACACACGCCCATCTAGCCATTCTGCTTTTAAAAGGAGGAGAATGAGAAGACACACAAGGTATGCTGGGCATCTGTAGGCCCTGCCTGCTTAGGGCTTGGGTTCAGCCAGTCCCCTGGAGTGGACATGGAATCAGCAGCATTGGCTGTGTCCTTGTTCACGTCTCAGTAGCCTAGGACCAAAAGCCTAGCCCAACAGGAGGGAATTTAACAGGGTTACATCCATTTCGGGGTCTCTGTGTGTACCCCAAACAGCTTCACAGGGAGAGGATTGCAGAGGATGGATGGAAAGGATGGAAGTCCATGCAGGACATCCCAGCGCCTACTTACTGTAAGGCTGGTGGCGGGCCCCCCTCCCCTCCCTAGATCAAAAAGAAAAGGCTCACAAGACCAGACACGCCAAGGACAACCACCAGGCCCCGCTGAAAACAAAAACACCTGGATGTCCACCCAGATAAGAAAGTTTTTGGTTCCTGGATTTCGCAAATACCGCCAGCCCCTCCTATTTCTCAATAACCACAGAGGGTCACAGGGGAAAAAACCCAGTTGTTCCCACCAAAAGTTCACGGTGCACCTCAAACAGTATAAAAACTCTAACCCGCTCCAAACAGATGCAACTTCTCGGGCCCCCCCCCCTCTCTTGGGACCCAAGAACCTCGTCAGGGAGCGCACAATAAAGCCACATTGTTTGGCCCCACTCTCTCTCTGTCTGTTTCTTTCGCCACTGGAAAACTTTACACTTTACTGCTTTTAAATCACATTTATTTGTCACCTAAAGCTCTGTTTTTGGTTGTTTATTACCTTATCCCCAACCAGACTGGCAAGTCCATGGAGGTAAGGATTTTGTCAGTCTGGTTCACCTCTAATGCACAGAGCATGCCATTTAATAGACCCTCTGGAATATTCCATAGGGAAGATTCTTTGAGTGCTCATTGCAGAATCCCCAGTGCCCCAAACAGTGTCTGGTATGTAGCAGGCTTCTAGAACACAAGCTGTGAGGGAGCAGGGACTTTGTCTCTTCACTGCTGTTCGCCAGTGTCTAGCATTCTAGGTGGTTCTCTAGACTGAGGGCCAGCAAACATTTTCTGTTAAAAGACAGAAACATTTTGAGCTTTGTGGGCCATGTGCTCTCAGTCACAACTACTCTACTCCACTGCTGTAGCGTGAAAACAAACTTGATATGTAAACAAACAAATGGGCATGGCTGTGTTCCAATAAAACTTTACTTACAAAAACAGGCAGCAGGCCAGGTTTGCTCTAGAATATAAACTTCATAAGAGAAAGGATTTAAAAAAAATAAAAACTCTATGGATCCATACCTACCATCTCAAACAGTGTGTAGCACATGGTAAGTATGCAGTAGAATATATGTTGAATAAATGAACAAATGGAGGGGCTGAAAGTGGTTTTAGTTGACAGCTTCCCTTGGGTCAGGGATGTGATGAGTGTTGTCATGTTGGGCTACCGAGCAGGGGACACTCTCTGGAAGTGGATACTGGAAGCCTCTTGTGCTCTAGGATGGTTGGATCACACCTGGAATAGCATTCCCAAACCTGGAAGTCTAAGTACATGAAGAGGACAGGCCCGATGGGGTGGGGACAGGCGACCTTGTTACACTGAGATGGTGGGAGGAGGTAGAGAGACTGAGGCTGGAGGAGACAAGAGTCAGGAGAAGACAGTTTATATACTGATGGACTCTCATAGGTTAGAACAATTAGCTCTAAGAAACAAGGGAGGGCCGGGCGCAGTGGCTCATGCCTGTAATCCTAGCACTCTGGGAGGCCGAGGCAGGAGGATCGCTTGAGCTCAGGAGTTCGAGACCAGCCTGAGTAAGAGTGAGACTCTCTACTAAAAATAGAAAAATTAACCAGTCATGGTGGTGCGGCAAGTCTGTAGTCCCAGCTACTCAGCAGGCTGAAGCAGGTGGATCACTTAAGCCCAAGAGTTTGAGGTTGCTGTGAGGTAGGGGCTGATGCCACGGCGCTCTAGCCTGAGCAACAGAGCAAGACCATCAAAAAAAAAAAAAAAAAAAAAAAAAAAAAAAAGGAAATGAGGGAGATATTTCTAGAACTTTCTTGAAGTTAGCTAGTGGCAGTCAGAACTGGCTGATAGAAACAGTTTGGTGGGAGAACAAGCTCTCAGTCTCCTGGAGCATTCAAGTAGACCTGGGGATGCTATGGAAGGGATTTAAGTTTGGGTGGGGACAGGATTATATGATGTTGCGTCCCTTTTGACCCAAAGAGCCATTCTCATGTGGGAGTCTGTAGCACTGTTCCCCAGGCAACAGATGGAGATTGCCCTCAGACAAAACCAGACTCCTCAGCCTGGTGCAGGAAGCCCTCAGGATTGTCCCCAGCCTCCTGCCTCAGTTCCCCCGTTCTCATCTCCTGGGCTCTGTTCTGCCTCCACCAAACACCACTGGGTGTTCTCCAGACTCACCTTCTGTTTCCTCAGTCCAGGCCTTTGCACATACAATGCTGTGCTAGTTTCTGTTTCCCCAGAAGAGAACTTGAGGCAAAGATAAGTGGCTGTAGTTTGAGAACTGATCCCTCCAGGAAGCGTGGAGGGGGAGTGGGAAAGAGAAACTGGGGAGGAAAGGCAGCTAATAAAAGGTGCCTTATCAAGTCCGTGGTGACCGGAGCCTGACCCACTGGGGAGTGTCTGTGAACCAGTGTAGAACACGCCTCAGAGTCGTCCCACTTGATGGGTGAGGGAGATCTCCTCTTTTCTCTCTCTCCTCCTCTCTCTCTGTTTCTTTCACCACTGGAAAACTTTACACTTTACTGCTTTTAAATCACATTTATTTGTCACCTAAAGCTTGTTTTTTGGTTGTTTATTACCTTATCCCCAACCAGACTGGCAAGTCCATGGAGGTAAGGATTTTGTCAGTCTGGTTCACCTCTACTGCACAGAGCATGCCATTTAATAGACCCTCTGGAATATTCCATAGGGAAGATTCTTTGAGTGCTCATTGCAGAATCCCCAGTGCCCCAAACAGTGTCTGGTATGTAGCAGGCTTCTAGAACACAAGCTGTGAGGGAGCAGGGACTTTGTCTCTTCACTGCTGTTCGCCAGTGTCTAGCATTCTAGGTGGTTCTCTAGACTGAGGCCAGCAAACATTTTCTGTTAAAAGACAGAAACATTTTGAGCTTTGTGGGCCATGTGCTCTCAGTCACAACTACTCTACTCCACTGCTG